TGTTTGAAATACGCCTCCTGCTTTTCAATGTCTCTCTATCCATCTTTGTCTGCTCTTCAGAAAAGCAGACAATATAAAGCAAAGCCTGGCGAGCTCCCCACGCTCTGGCTTGGGCAGTGCCAACGTTAGCCTTGAAATTGTCACTCCTTCATTAATCTGAAACTAGTTATTTTTCCAGAGCACACAGCACACGCTTCCGATCTCTTTGGGTTCGCTTCCAACAGCTTAAATCCCCCCGGACACGCCGGCTGGGGTCGGGGCAGGGGGGAGGCGCGGAGGGGCCGATGCGGGCGCATCGCCCTGAGTGGGGCCGGCTGGGAAGCGCGCAGGGGGGCGGAGAGGGGCGCGGAGCAGAACCTGCGTGAAATCGGCCCTTTCACGGCGAGGCTGAGCGCGCTGCAGCGCGGACACACGCTCCGAGGTTTTCCGAGTGGCACAGTGGGTTCGGGCTGTTTGTTATTCCGCTGTCATGCGGGACTCCCCGGCAGCTGCCCGGCGCACGGCTTTCCGCCACCGACGGGGGCCCGGCAGAGCGAGGGCGCCTTCCCAGGGCCGGGGTCCCACCCAGGACCCCCGGGCCCGGCTGCCGACCTTGCCTGGGCTTTCTCACCCTGACCGAGACCCGATCCAACGGACGGAGGTGCGCGGAGGCTGAGGAGTGCGCTTCCCGTCCTCCTATTTAACATGCTTTTTGAGCAGCCGCAAAAACTTACACAACATCAACAGTGGGGAAAAGAAAAAAGAAAACAAAAACAAAAACAAAAACAAAAACAAAAACAAAAACAAAAACAAAAACAAAAACAAAAACAAAAACAAAAGCAAAAACAAAACCAACCCAACTATTTTGGCTGGGTTTCTTTCGGCTCCGGATCCAGAATGGGAGTGCTTCCCCCGCCGCCTGCGTCCTCCGAGCTGGTGTCAGAATGCTCGCTGGGGTCCCGGGGCGGTGGTAATAGGACTTGCCCCTTCCTGGCCATCTTATCCTCCTGGGCACCACAGAAACTCCCGAATGATCCTTTCTGGCCGTGGCCTCGTTTTGCGGCCGTGTCCCATGGGGGTCAGGTCAGTGGGAGGGGTGGGAGCAGAAAATTTGGACAAACTAGAGGTGAATGCAGCGGGATTAGGTAGACTGTCCCCTCTCTGCCCCAGCAGCAACAGGAGGTACCGAGGAAGGAGAGTTTCCTGCAGTTCCTTGGCCTGGATCCCTGCACTGTGAGCCATGCTCTCTGTCAGTGCTTGGGGCTTCACTGATGAGGCCTAGGCTGCCCCATACTCCCCAGGGAGGATGTGCAACCAGCCAAGAACACTGAGCTCTGCGGTCTGGGAGTCTCTGGAGCATACCTGCCACTGTGTCCCAGCTACACCACGGGTGGAAGCAAGGAGCTGACCCAAGGGCCTCCACTTCCTGGAGTCTGCGGTAGAGGTGCAAGATGCTGGCAATGGGGCAAGAGCTCAGACAGTGGGGAAAGGTTTCAGCAGCTCCTATGGGGACTTCAGGGCTTGAAAGAGCAGCTGGGAGAGTACGGTGAAGGAATATCTTCGGTACTGCAAAGTTCCAGCAGCCCATGGCCAATGCTGCCTGATCAGGACATGGGAGGAGGTTCAACCAGGGGTCCACAACCAGAGAAGTCAGTGCCATGAGTCTGACCTCCACCATGCAGACCAAGGTCAGGGAAATTCCTCAAGATGGATGTTTTCTTCTTCCGATTTTTTTTTTAAGAGTTAAATAGAATTTAAGTTAGTAAATAAATATCTCAAAGAAAGCTTTTCTGGAGCGATGCTTACCCAACACTTCACAGAAGGTCAGTAGCAGGGTCGCTCACAAATATGACTCGCATCTCTTGTGCAAACGCTCAGGCTTTAGCTGTGCGACTTTCCCCTTGCAGATCCTTGCTTATGGGGGGTCCAGAGCAGCAGCTGCTGGGGGCCAAGAGACCCAGAGGGTCATTAGAGGCTGTTCCATACCTGAAATCCACCCAGGACACAGGCAACTCCTCTGACACCAAGTTATGTCAGGAGTGGCTCCATTAGGAGCTGAACACTGCCTGTCTTCAGTACTCAAGATGAGCGAGGGGGAAAAAATTGCACTTCACACTTTATGGAAGGAAAAAGAAAGGATAGAAAGAAGGGGGGGAGTGGAGTGCAGAAGGAAAAATCCAACATATTTGAATGTAAATTTGCCTAAATTTCAAAATGTTGAATGCTGGATGTGGAAACCCTACAGAACATTTCCTGCAAATTATGGTACGTTCAACTTCCCATAGTGCTTCTGTCACACTGACTTGGACTGCCAGGATCAGGTCGAGCTGGTTGTATCAGCCTTCTGAGATGTTTTGGGGCAAAACCATTGCATCATTCCTCTTTTCCAAAGTTTTTTACATGAAACATTTACTTTGAAATAAAATTAAATATTGTCTCAACTGTGCATATTTCTACAGGTGCATATTTCCACAGAGTTACACTGAGAATATACACACTCTATCAAGTGTATCTTTGTAGTTTTAAAATATCTTTGAGTTTAGCAGTTTTAGATTTCAGACATTGGTGCTTTTCCTCACCCAGAAAAGTTTTGCTTTCTCAGGCTGCTGTTGACTTCCTCCTGTTACACCATGGGATGACATTGCTGGGAGGGTGGGCAGTACTTTCTGTGGAACTAATGCCTTCTGCCAAAGCTTCAAGGTTAGAAAAGATCCACTTGTGATTATAGAAGCAAATTAGACACAGGCGAACTGAGGCTGAGAATTAACAGTTTCCAGATTCCACCTCATCATATTTTAGCGGAAGAAGGGCCAACAAGTTCAGCCACACCTTTCATGAAGTTCCCCTGGGAAGGAATCATAAGGACCTCCTTTGGCTCTTTGGTCTCCCCAGCCTGGCAAGTGAGAGGACTGCCACTGGCGTAACCAACATGCCCAGCCACTCAGCTAGCATATGGGCTTCTGGCCTCTGTAGTCAGCTCAGGCAGTGAAATGGTCGTTATACGGATCAATAAGATTTTGTATTTGTTTTCCAAGTCCAGGCTAGAAACTTCAGTCCTGCCTTTCCTTTCCCTTTCTGTTAGAAGTGGGTGCACTGACAGTGCCTCTGCCCAAGCCCTGAAGCTGGTCCAGGCTTTGGGTAGTGCCCATACCAGGCTCTTTCCATCCTACCCTAGCCCTGCCCATGTACCTGGCCTCTCCTCCAAGACAGACAAGCAATACAAGTGTCACTGCACTGGGGCTGCCTCTCTTTTCAGCATCCAGGGTGCTCGCAGGCAAGTCAAATTGGAGACCTGAAGCTGAAGCCCCAAAATTAGGGATTAAGCACTGCAAGTATAGGGATTTTTGAGGTAATTATTTATGAAAAATGTTTCGGCACAGTTTTGGAGGTTTAAGTCAAAATTGTATATTGGATTAGTGGAAAATCCACCCAAGGAAAAGGTGAGAGAAATAACATAATGTGCAAAAGGCACTTCTGATTTGCTTATATTGCTGGCTGTATATACACTTGCTGTCTGCCAGTATTGCAGGAGCTAGGAAAAAAGTTGTAAAGGGGCTCATTTGGGACTGACTAGCTCCAGGTCCATCCCACTCCCACCAGCCGCCTGTAACTCTCCTGCAAGGCGCTGAGGATGGGCTGCCCAAGGCCGAGGCAGGATGGGACCCATGGCCGGGCGCTGCCCGACGCAGATTGCAGAGAACTTCAACCATGTCTCAGCCTAACGGGTTTGCACTCAGATCTTCTCCCTAAGCCTGGTCAAGGCGCCTAATGAAATCAACACTGAAAAGAGCTAACGCTGTTCTGCCGCCTGAGGGGGGAAAAAAAATCCCTGATCTCTGCTTAACATCGACCCATATAACAACTTCAGCGGAGTTTCAGCCTGATGAAGGGCCGACGTGTGCAGCCAGCCCCTCGGTGAGGGAAGAGCCGGGGGCTATCAGGCAGCAGGGCTGGGAGCTGTGTGCGGGATCCCGGAGCACAGCCCTTCTCTCCGGCCCCGTGCCGTGACAAGCGGCCCTGGGCCAGCGGCAGCCGCGTGTCCCCAATGCGGTGTCGCCGGGCCAGCAGACGGCAGAAAGCTGTCAGTCGCCAGGAGGGCGTGCGCTGGCTCGGGCTGGGAAGGAACACAAGGCTGCTGGACTCCGAGGACCGGCTGTACTTGCGTTCCGGCCGGAGCGGAGCCCCCCCCTCTTCTCCGCCCCCCAGCCGTCCCGAGTCACAGGGGAACAGAAAACATATATTCGTGTTAGTAGCCGATGGCTTTTATTTTTCACTCTTTATGCAGATCTGATACATACACAGCGATGCTTTCACTGTACGAAGGACAAGGACTGCAAAGAAAAACACCTTGCCCAGCCAGTCCACCTTCGCTGCTGCGACTGGGCTGGCACTTGATGGGAGGAAGGGTGGAGGGAGGGGGAGGGTAAGAAGAAAAAAATTAAATTCTTGTCTGATCTCATTTATTTAAATAAATATAAATATAATTTTTATATAAAACTATTCACAGACAAACAACCGTCCCAAACCCAAACAGGTGATCTTTATGTCTTTTCTTATTTTTGTTAGGAAGTCCGTCCAGAAGTTTCTCTACAGGTTTTAATTTGATTTTCAGGTTTGTTTGTGGCTTTTTTTTTTATGACTCGCCTTTCGGTTTCAAATGCGTTTCTTTTTTTTCCTTTAAATTGCCTGGGGGAATACAGAGGAAGGCACTCTGGGCCATGTGAGCCTTGTCCCATGCTACATTTTAGAAAAAGTAGATGCCCTCTCCTGGGGTTACATAAATAACATTTTGGTTGAACACCCACGACTAAAACATTTACATTCCGAAAATATATTTATATATATATATATATCTTTCTATTACTGCGAATGGATGACAATTAAACCTCTGCGGCGGCGAGGGCCAGCCCGCTGCAGGTTAGCGGGCTGCCGTCCGTGGGCAGCGGTGCCAGGTAAGTCGCGGTGCCGCCACCTCGCCCCGGGCTGGGACCCGGCGGCAGGAGCGGAGCTCCGAGCCGGGCTCATAACGGGGAGATCTCTTTATCTTCGGTAGCCGATGAGGGGGATAGAGACTCTTCATCCTCCGACCGCGGGTAATGCCCCTGGCTGGTGCTGCACTTGCAGCCTCCGTGCGAGTTTCGCTGGGTGCCTTTGCCTTCTTTCTTGTGCTTCACCCTCCTGTTTTGGAACCAGATTTTCACTTGCTTCTCGGACAGGTTCAGGTACGTGGCTATCTCGATCCTCCGCAGCCGGGAGAGGTACATGTTGGAGGAGAATTCCCTCTCCAGCTCCAAGAGCTGGGTGCTGGTAAAAGCAGTCCTCATCCGTTTCCCATTTTGAATCTGGCTGGATTCGGACCCTCCTGGACAGGAGAGAAATGCGAACTTCAGCGGGACAGGGAAGAGGGCGGGGAGGGGGGCTAGAGACAGACAAGCAGACAGAAAGAGAGAGAGAAGACATTCCCCAGCAGCTTTCCGACCCGGGGCAGCCGCTCTCCCTTGGGGACACCCCTTTTCCCGCTGCCCCCCCTTCCCCGGCGGCCGCAGGGCTCCTACCCATGCCGAGGCAGTGAAACCTCCGGGGGTCGCTGACGCTGTAGGTGGTGGCGGCGCAGGCAGGTGGGTGATGCGCAGGGTGTCCCAGGGCGGCCGCGGGCACCGAGGCTGCGGGCGGAGGGTGCTGCGGCGGGTGGTGAGCGTGGCCGGTCCGCGGGCAGCACTGGGCCTCGCCTGCGGCGCTGGGGAACTGGCTCTTGAGCAGAGGGATGGCCCCGCCGGCGCTGCCACCGCGGGAGGAGTGCAGGTGCGAGGTGACACAGAGCGGGCAGACGCAGAAAGCGCCGCTCTTTCGGGACGGGCAGCCCGGGCCCGACACCGACATGACGAGGGGGGAAGGCATGCTGAGAGGAATGAAGAAGTCCTGGCCGTGATGATGCTCAGGAAGGGACGGAGCTGGCCTCGAGGAGTCTTTGATAATTAAGGAGTCGACATAGAAGGAGCGTGACATTGCGGAGGGCTGCGAGGCCGAGGGCGGCTCTCCAAAGTCGGGTTTTTCCTGCTTGGCCAAGTTGCCACTGAAGTCCTGGCGAGTCGAGAAGGTGCTTATGTTTGAGAGCTGAACAAAAGGGTCCCTGGAGAGGGCTGGTCTTAAAGTCCCCCCGCCTGGATCCCCTGCGCCGGGGTTTTATATCAAGTATTTAAACACGTGATGGCTGAAAGCCTTGCAGATCTAAATCTCTCCGGCTTCCCAGGCCGGCAGGAGAGGCTGCCGGGGGGGGGACCAAAGCAGAGTAGAGGAGGGGGGCAAAGTGTGCGTGCTTGCTCGTTGCCCGATGACTTCACTCCTTTGCCTCCGCCTCAAATAAATTATAGGAGCAGAGAAAGAAGGGAGGGGGCGGCTGCTCCGCGGCCCCGTCACACGTCGCGCTTGCAGGCATGTCCCTCTGTCAACACACCCGGGAGGCAGGCGATGAAATTCATCGGAAGGAGTTTCTGCTCGGGGGTCTTCCCTGAGGAGAACGCTCCTTTCCCTCTCCCAGAGGGAGAGATGAGAGCAGGTAATGCCCTGAAACAAGCGGTTCAACTCCGCCCCCCTCACCCTTAGTAAAAGAACATCCAAGGGGCCGTAGATCCCACGGAGGCCTGGGGCCAACACCTTTCCCCAGTCCGGTCCACTCCTTGCACTCAGGACTCCTTCAGGAGGCCCTTTCTGCATCAGAGGAGCCAGGTACACATTGATATAAAGTTAGGGATGGAGGTGTTTGTGTCTCTGCGCATACATATGCACGTAGGGTGGGTTGGGTGCCTTTTTTTTTCTCCTCGCCCTTTTCACCTCAAGTGAATCTTGCCAAATTGCCAATTACTGCAATGGACAAAGCCTTCAAATATCTGGACACTTCTCAGCCAAACGGTATCAAAACGGAAAACTTCCAAGCGAACTTCCCCGGCCGCTCCAGGACCGCAGTGCTAATGAAAAGCGAACATGTCAGGGAGGGGTTCTTTGATCTCCACCAAATTTGCTGAAGCAATCATTCAAAGTAAAATTGGATAAACAGCTAAATACGGTCGGTGGCTCCGAAGCATTTCAGAGTGCATTACAAAGCCAAGGTATTCGCAGCATATTACGCGATTTTCCAATGACCTGTTTTATGGGAGTTTAAGAAGAGACTTATCGCTAATAGAAGGACTATCGCGTTCTTGTTTAGCAGATGCGAAGCGGCGTTTAAACAGACTGCGGATCCCATCCCACTTGACACTGGGAAAGGGAAGTGACAATTGTGCTTTAAAGCAGAAAACACAGACTACGCCTGATTACTAGAGGCTGAACAGAAACTCGGGAGTGCAGCAATAGCCGAAACGTGTTTAGAAGCAGTTATCATGCTCAAGGGCCGGGCCGCGGACATCCTACCATCCCTCCCACACGCACAGTCTCCCGCTGTTAAACCCAGCAAAATAAAACCGCCTTCCGATGGAGCCGGCATTTCCTCGCCCCTGGCACAGAAAAAGTTCGGCGGCGCAACTCGAGCAAGAGTTGGGGCCGGGTCGCGCCCGGCTACGCTGTCCCGTTCCCATCCCCAATCCCAACCTGCCGTGGGCAGTGCCGCTGTGCGGTCCCTCTGTACTGAGGCCGGCTCTCCCCTAGCCCTGCTCCTATTTTTTCCCCCTGCACCTCCCCGAGCAGGCACGATGCAACAGCGTTTTTAGGGACACTCCGCGCTCGGTGATCTGAGGATTTATGGATAGCAATTAAAGTTTTATGAATTGCAGCTGAGGCCTGTTATGTGGCTATTTGAATGTGATTAGAATTCAATTAGAAAGTGTTTACCGGCCGGCGGGGGCTCCTGAGTGTAAACAGACAGCTATTCCAGCAATGCGCTAATCCTGCGTCTTGTGACAACAATTAGGGGCTCGTGGGGTTTAGGCGGGTCGGCTCCAACCTCACCTACTTTTCCCCAAACTGCTGCCCAAGGCTCAGCCGAGGCCCCTCAACCGCAGGGCCTTGGAGCCCCAGCGACCGCTGTCCGCGCCGCCGCCGAGGCCCTGGGGTCCGCGGCCCGGGGACACCCTGGGGCTCTGCCTCCTGAGCTCCGGTGGGGCCCGTGAGATTCTAGTCACGGTCACCGTGCACAAGCGTGGTATTTTTTGGTTCAGCTCTTCTCGTTAAATCTGGAGAAGATTTGAACTAATATCTGCATTTAATTTTATTTTTATTTTTTTTTTTCCTCTAGGAGAGGTTATGCTGGAAAATGAAAATACAATCATACAGCCCCAAACCTCAGTGGAAAAAGCTGTCTGCAGTGATAGAGTGGATCTGGGGAGGGGGCTGTCGTAAGGGAAGGCAGACAGAGCAAGAGTCGTATCAAAATTGCAATTTGTAATTGTTATAATAAACCAAATGCAGTGATAAGAGAGAGAGAGAGAAATCACTAAGAAAAACACACCCCTGAAAGCCAAAGCAAGAAAATAAGTCATTTGAAAGCAAAGACATCCCAAACCAGGCGGAATGATGCAAGGCGTGCGCCCACATCACATCGGCCTCGTTACATTTTTATTTTTCAATAATTCTGTCCGATAAAATTTCATTGTCCATTAAGTAATCCCCGAAATGAGAGCTCTTATGAGCCTATAATGAGCTCTAATTGCTACGACTGGGAGAGCCACGTGGAAGGATTTAGAAGGTATTAAGCAGTTGGGTACAGAGCACAGGCTGTTACCTAGCCATTACTTTCATAATTCAAGGAGAAAATTAGTCCTTTTAAGGGAAAATCCTTTGATTCCCTTCATTCTGCTCGGGGTGACAGAGTATAGCTTTGTCTGCCTTTAGTTCAAGACAGTGTAACAAATGAGAATGTAACGAAATTGCCCCCTTTTGAAAGTGGAGCAGTTCAAAAAGAACATCAGAGCCGCTCCCCTGGTCCGCCGAGCGCAGGACTGGGTGCTGGTCCCTCTTTTCTTCCAGATGTCTCTAACACCTTTATGTAGAAGAGATTCACGGCTTAAATGACAAAAGCAACTCTTTCCCTTCCCTCCCCCAACCCCGGCAGCTCCTGGCAGAAGAAAAAGCCATTCCCGCCTGGAGAAAGCGCCGGCTTTCAAGCGCGCATCTCCGCGGAGTTCACGGGAGGAGCTGCCTCAGCGGAAAGCGCCGCAGCGGGGACACGTTTCGAGCAGAAAAAACACCAACAACCAACCAAAAAAAAAAAAACCTAAAAAACCCCAAACAAACAAAAATCCCCCCACCCAAATAAACATCCAAAACAACAAACCCAAAACAACACCTGCAGAGCAGCCGTGGTCGCAAACATCACACCAGGGTGACATGCGGTGGCGCTGGGCAGGCTGCGCCCCGGGCTGGGGCAGTTCCCGTACAGGAAAGTCCCGCTCAAAATAAAGCCGTGCGTGGGTAAGCGAGGAGCCGCGGGTTCCTGCGCTATAATCGCATTTATTCGCTACTCTAACATTGATTTCCTATTAGTTTCCAAAGTGATCGGCAATCCCGACGCTGGCCTTTCTGAAGTGAACGCAATCTAATGACAGGACTTGCCCCCAGCTCCCATTAAGGAGGTCATTATAAAAGCGTGAACAAGTCTATTAATGTTTTATTGAAAGCGCATCGTTAACTTGTATCCATCCTTTTCTGAAAGTGGCATTGTGATATTGCTGTCTGTGGCACATCTTACCCAATATAGCCCGAGATTTCTCCATTATCTGTAACCAAGCAACACTTTCTGAATACCAAAAATTGAAAAGAACCGCTTAGTCTTCAAGAAAGTCCTCAATAATAGTGGAAAAGAACAAAGATCCAGGAGACAACAAAATGCCACAGGGGTGACTTTTCATGAGCAATTATCTCTCATTAATCAGAAGAACAGCTGCAATATTAATTTTCTCTCTTTCTTCCTCTCTTTTCACAGTCCCCAACATTTGAATAATCATAAATTTTGATTTCATGGAGCAGCAACATTGCCAGCGACTTCGAGACACAAGCTACCTAGGCAGGGCGCACGCTTTGCACATAGCTCTTATTTTAAGGCTGCCAAAGAATAAACCGAAGAAAAGAAAAGAAAAGAGAGGAAAAGTCTGGATTGCTTTCCCCCCTCCCTTTGCCTCGAAGCACGGATTAAACCAGCAGCCCCTTCCCTCCACCCCTGCCGCTTTCAGTCATGGAAAGTAACAGGCGTAAGTACTGAGTGTCTGCGCCAGCTTCAAGCGTGGGAGTTTCTACAACCTCGCTGTCCATTTAACTTCCAAACATGAAGCCAAGCGTTGTAGATCTGTCCAAAGAGACAATCTTTGGGCGTAACACGCATTGTGAGACATCAAAAGGCCCTGGCGTTATGCGCACTGAGAAGCGTATTCAGCACGAAGGGTGCAATGCCTCTCTTTTCAGGGGCTCAGCCGCGGATTGTTTAACAAGTGACGTCGCCGCGGCAAGAAAACTGCGCTCCTCCAAAGATAAGGATGTAACATTAAATCTCGCTTTTTTGGATTTCAAAGAATCTCATTAAGGGCAGGGGCCGGAGGCGGCCAAGCCGGGAACGGGAACCGTGCCCCGGGGATGTGAGCGCCCAGTGCCGCCTGCACAGCTCCTCGCTGCCTGGGGGAACAGGGCAGAGGGGAGGCCGAGACCCCACCACTCCTCGAACTCTGCCCATCTTCGGGCATCCGCCTTTCCCTCCTCGGCCCCAGAGGGCAGGGGAGAGAAGCTTCTCACCGAGACCGCCTCGCAGCCAGGCAGCGGCCAGTGGGCTCACCCGAGGGTTTGAGGGCTGACCGCGAACTGAGGAGAGGGAAGGCAGCTTCTCCCCTTTCCCTGCAGATGCAGATCCCCGGTGTCCTTCCCTTCCATGAGAGATTTCCTTAGCCTTCATCCCCGGTCAAATTACCCTACCTAGACTTGGCACGGTACCCCCCTCCCGCCTCCAGGAAATAGGGCCGTTTCCGAGGGAATGAAGGGGCACTCCTGCACTCGGGAAGGACAGGCCCCCGGCTGCCCTGCCCGGGACT